GTTAACGCACACAGGGCTGAGCTGGATGTTATTGAGAAGGATACATTACGAGGTTGACCCGTGGTCAGAGCTCAGTCTTTCGCCAGGGACGAGCTGACGACAGAGGAGCGGGTCTGCGTGTTTTTCTCCCTGCACTTGAACACCACCTCGGTATCCCCTTTTCTAAAAACACACCCACCAACCCAAACATTTACTGTCCTCTTCACTTACTCCAGGAATGTCACCAAGCTATGGCAGGCCTCTCTCTGCAGCTATGTACTGCAGGATATCATTATATGTGCATGTTGGTGGGTCACTGTTGATTTAATGTTGTAATGAGACTGTTTTTGTGGAATGGCTCACGATGTGTGTGTGTATAACTACCTCAAGACCCTTCTATATTACGTACATTAGATGGCTCCTGGATCCTGTTTAGTACTTTTTCAGCACTAGCTAGCCTTTAAGCAGTTACTCCAGTTTAGCAGATGTGCCATTTGCCAACTTCTGCCAAGTCGCACTGCTCATTTCAGCATAAACAAAGAGGAGGGCTGAGGGCCAGGGCTGAAAAAAAAAAACATTACTGCCAATGACATTATACTATTCAGCTTGCGAGCCCGAAGGTTAATGAATCTCGGGGGGGGGGGAGACAGACAGATGCAGATGGGAGTGGAATATCAAAAATTCATCATCAAAAATCTTTCCAAAGCATCATTTGTCCAAGCAGAGAAACACACACAGAAACCAGCTTATAGGAGACAAGCTTACGTAGTGTTATATTAATCCAGGCTCCACTGATATTCCATCCCCTCTGCAGCAATACCATCATTTAGATCATATATATACATATATAACAACATTCTAAACATTTATGTAAAAGCACGGTATGACACATATCCACACACACACACACTGTTTCCACAGTGAAGCCTAGTGACACAAACATATCATCTCACATGGGCAGCCTTTTTCCATGAAGGCGTCTGACAGGATGACATAGCTCAGTGTGGTGGTGAAACAGTCACGACAGCAAAACAAAGACAGGCTGTAGTTGTTTTGTACTCATCTTTATATTATGAACTTGTTTTGGATTTTCATGGAGCATCGAAGATGAGCTCTCCTGCTCTATCGCCCCGTACGCCTCTTTCCACCAGTTTGTTTTAAGTAGTGTAGGTGTATGCAGTTATGTTATACATTGATTTTTAGATTGGCTTTTCCATCATTATATTGTGTGTGTTTCACATTAAATGAGTCTTACTTTATTAATTACTGAAGGTTGCAAGAGTCAGTTGTTTGTATCTAACCCACATCTCTTCATTTCAAATGAGGAGATGTCCCAGCTGCTGCGCGCTGGTGCCTGGTCAACACGCTGTAATCTCCACCACAGACTTAATGAGCTTAATGTGCACTCCCAGGCCTCTGAGCTTAAAGGCATGTGCACAGCAATCACTTCACTGCTGTCCGTAAGTGTGTGAGTGCATGAAAAACATATTTTAAAAAGCCATGGAAGTGGCAGTGCTACTGAGATACATCAATACTTTCAAACATCGTCATTGGCAACAATTAAAATGTCACAGATTAAATACTTCAGAATGTCGCTTTGCCCACAGACACTGGCTTAATCATTATCATTACGTGTCAGCGACCATCTGCTGCCAAAGTGACTGTGCAGACGGCTGACATACATCCGGGGCCGACTGAGGCCGAGCGCAGACTTTCATTTGTAAACAAGCCATATGTCGTCATGCAACCTAAAGTCTTTAAGGGAAAGTAAATGCAGACCGGAGCTTTACAGTGGCTTCCAAGAATAGGAACAGATTTCAGAGCTTGATTGGGGATAAACTGTGATTTAGTCGTCAGACCCACAGTGCGCTAGGCCTCGAATACAAACTTTCTCCCCTGCGACAGTGAACGAGCACATCACAGACGCTGTCATGAAAAGCAGCATTATTAAAGATGTTTAAAGATGCTACGTAGAATCAAAAACAATCTGTGCCTTTCATGTGACACTGATATGACATACAACAATCTATCTCTTAAAAATAGCAAATCCTGCAGACTGACTCCAGACACTGCACATAAGGGCTCTCTGGCTACAGATCTGGATTCCGATTATCTTCTAATTTGAATCATATAATGTTTCAGGAAGAGGAACAACTCCCAACAAGCTTGTAGCTCATGTTACACAAGATGAAATAAACGTATAGCTATGCATTAGCATATGAAGTATCAATTAGACTAATGATGTGGAACTCTGAAGAGTGAGGGATTATTGCATTAACCCCCAACCATTGCTTACAAGTGACTCAGACTGAGACTATAACTGATGGAGAGTTTCCTGTTGCTTAGGTATTTTAAACCATCATAATATGTTAAATAAAACTGAACTCATGTTAAAAAAACATAGAACTAGATAAATGTGAGATACAATGTGTTTTACACGGGTGTACAACATGTTCACTCCACACATTATCAACCACTTCATGTCTGATGAGTAAACAAAGGCAACAAATAGCTACAGGAGCAGTTTTAATCTCTGTCACATGCAGCCTGATGCCTTCACAATAAGCAGTGACAGCTAAAAAGGAGAGATAAAGTACAGATAAAGGCTCGCTGGCCTGGAACAACAAAATTCTTCATTTCACAGGGACTCAGAGAGATATGTCAGTTGCTCTGAAGTGATTTTCCGTCTGGTCAAAATGAAAAAATGCAACTAGTTTGTCTGATCTTCCCTTTCTGCATCCTGGTTTAAATCTTGCATCAGAGCTGCAGCACTGCAGTCAAAGGCAAGATAGGTTTAAAGTGCAACACGTACCAAGGAGCACTGGTCGTACTCTCTAAACCTCTTATTGTGTGCTGAGCATACTCCTCAACCTGTCATACTGGTCCATTAATGTTTCCTGAGTGACACTTAAATCATAGCATCCGTGCATTGTACATGGCACATTCACTATTGTCAACATGATTGAGTGAAAATATCTGCTTTGAATGTTTTGCAGTAAATGTTATTCTTTAACCGTCATTTGCTTCTGATTTGTCATTGATACAGCTTTGGGAAGTGCAGTGCTCAACATTTAACTCACTCCTGAGTTGTAGTACTACTTCTTGCATAAGTGATTGCTATAGCACATGCAAAAGGAATGAGTGTATATTTCCACTGCACTGATTTCCCATTTATTCCTTGTTGTGGCAACTGACATTATGAAACATGTAGTTGTTTGTCTGGAAAAATGTATAATTGTCATACTGTTATTTTTTTCCCCAGAATACACATGTAGATTCATATCTCTCATCGACAATGCAACCAAGGAACAGTTTCACTTATAGTTTCCTTTCGGGTCAGTTATCAGATTGGACCTTATATTCTGAAACTGCGCATCTGACTGTGGTATCTCTGACTGACCAAAGCCAACAACTGAGCCCATTAGACTGAGCACAACTGTGGTTACTCTTAAATATAAGATCAGAGAAATATTCCACTTGAATTATTCTATTTATTTCTACTTCAGTTCTTTGAAAGTGGCATGTGACTTATACTCCACACTCCTACACGCCCTCTACGAAGCACGAGTGCACTCACCGAGCCATAGAGAGGCATTTACTTTTGAAACTGTGCATTCCAAGTATCTTTCAATACTGTTTTTCATTTTTATTGTCGGCCAAGAACTAATCCATGACTGCAAGAAGAGCTGAGGTTTTTGAGCGTTTGCCTCAACGTTCTTTTAACACTGTGGAACTTCAGGCTTTCACCTCAGCGATGTCTGGGTACAGGCTCTATAGCAGTGAAGCCCTGATTAAGACCTGATGCTGCCATGCTGCATGTGCAATGCTTAACTCTGAGTCATCAAAGAAGCATAGCAATTGCTATAACATTTGGTTTTAAGGTTTTCCTGTGACAACTACAATACCTGAAATAAATGAACATGATATTTACTTGCTTGAGTCATCATCAGCACTTATAAAGTTGAGTATTATAACATGGCGATGCAGAACTTTAAGTATTATATATCGCTATGGGACCCCCAAATTATTGTGATTTATTTTGGTTGTTAGAATGCAATATGATCAGGTTTACAATGTATGATGCATAATGAATAACCAGCAAAGCGAGAAACAGGAGAATTAATATGAGGTCATAAAACTCTCTAGGCAGTGTGATAAAAACCACTCGAGTCATTAAGTAACTTGCTTCATTATCTGTGTCGGAGGAGACCATGGTGAAATTAGCTTCTGTTTAAACAAGAGGCATTAAATGCTTTTAATTATCTGCTGTACCACACACTTCTCTGTGTCAGGATTATGATGGAATATTAACTGTGAAGAATTTACCGTACACCATAATCCTTAATCTTCTTAACAAACTTCAGCTGCATTGGTACAGACTGCAAGAGAACAACACAAAGGCATTTCATCATTTGAACATGCAATTATTATTATGCCCTTATCAACAATGCAGCATTACAGACTCTTCATCGTTTTCTCATGAACATAATCATCAGAAAGTCACCAGTACTCTGCTATTGTACAAAGTATTAATGTTTCTGCAGACATGAACAATAATCTTATTCTTTTACTTTGAGGGACACAGGTTTTGTTTGAAGACCACAGAAATCAACATAGAGGGGGGGGCAGTTGGATGAAGTGGAGACGTGTCGTCCATCTAAATTCATTCTCACTGATCTGTAAGGTGATTTTTAAGAAAAAGTAAACAAAATGTATTGCTTACGTGATTCGTTGTATCACACATTCAATAGTGAATTTGATATGATAGTGATATCTGTGTCTACTTCACCAGTAAAATGTCCTGATGTGCTGCAGCATATGAAAAGTTTGCAGAAGTTTGCAGGGGTCCAGTGTGTGTGTGTGTGTGTGAGAGAGAGAGAGAGAGAGAGAGTGTGAGTGTGTTTTAGGTCGGTCTCCCTCCTCGGTCCCCACCTCCCGGCCTCTGGCCCAATCAGAGCAGAGGAGCGGGCCATTGGGGCCTGGCTCCCGGCCGTGCAGCGGAGAGAGGAGACTGTGGGGGAGGGTCACGTGTGTACACAGTGTCGGGCTCCAGCAGTAGTAAAGTCTGCTGCGGCTCTGCCTCCTTTTCAGAACAAGCCTCGTCCTCCGGAAAGTTGACGGACGAAGTGCTCTGAAATGCAGTGAAACGGTTCCGCTTTGTGGATCTCGCCGTTTTTTGGAGGCGTCGAGGACCCGAGGCGCGTAATTTCTCATTCCCCAGGATGTGTGTTTGTGGATTGAAACGAGAGAGAAATGCGAGTGGAGACGCTTCATCCAAACATAATGCCCCCGTAGGTTTGTCACCGAGCCAAGTCCATACGTTTCTGGTGAGTTTGAATTTTTCTTTTGCGTTATTTTCCTGCTAATTCCGTGCGTAAAAGCGACACGTTTGTGCCGAAAGCCCACGTTCACAGCGATAGAAAAGTGAATGTGATGACTGAGCAGCTTTATTTGAGCCACTAATAGAAGAATAATGGAGAAGCCCTGACAGCTATCCACGCTTTCATGTGCTCAGTCAAGTGTGATGGAGAGACCCACTGTCCACAATGATAATGATAATGATAACAATAATACTTGAAATTATGTAAAAAAAAAGGGAAAAAAAAGAAGACCTCCAGGGTTTTATCTTACACCTGAAGACGTGTTTCTCACGGGGTCAGTTTTCCCAAGAGCTGGGAAAGAAAAAAAAGGAAAGTTGTAGCAGGTCAACCAGAGTCCTGTAAAGTCAAATAGGTTTCACTTCCCTCCTTAGAAATAAAAATAAATGGTTTAAAGTTGGGTGAGACTTGTCTTCATATGAATAATGGCCTGTTGAAAGCCACAGCTAATGGGATGTCACCACAGTTAGTTTGTTTATTTAACCACATGTGATGTTTATAACTGGTACACTGCAAGATGTAATACACTGACTTAACTTTCAGGACATTAGTAAGGGATTGGTTACTGTTTATATATATATATTTATATATGAGCTATATAAACAGTTATGATATATGTGTTTTATATATATATATATGAATATATATGAACAGTCCTGTGATGTCAGATCAAAAATATCAGCATAATACTAATATCATCCTCTTTATTCAAAGTTTCAAAGCTTTTTAAATCACTATTTTATTACAAATGTTTAAAAACAAATAGCATAATTCTGATTCTAAAGATGATGCATACATGGAAGTATGAGTAATGATTATGATATCATGGCAGTGATATTTTATAAATGACAGTCGTTACCCACTGACTGACAATGAAGCTGACTGAATTCTATTTTAAGTACACACCCCCCGCCAAATTAAATACTTCTTGAGCTGCGGGCTTTGCACTTGTTGTCGTCAGCTCCGTCCATGTGACCGAAGGGGACAAGGGTGTGTGTGTGTGTGTGTGCTCAATGACAGTAAGCCCAGCTTTGTGCTGACCATTGAACTCTGACTTGTGCCGGAGCCTGTGACAGTTCAGCGTGTTGCCGGAAGGAAGCCGAGCAGGGCCTTCGACACTGACAGTGACTCGTGCTTGACCAGATACTACTACACTCAGGAAATACTGGTTTTCCCAGGACTGTCTGTATAGTGTCACTCTACAAGTAATGTGTGCCCAACACATGTGGTTTGCGAGGAACACCACTTGCCAGAAACAAGCTAACCCTTTCCTGCACACAAACAAATTCATGTGAGTTTCTCCTCCAAAATGGAGTCAGTAGTTTAATAACGTGATCCCTCATTAATTGATAATTCCAAGAATAATAGACGGCTGAGGAAATGGCTAAAACCAGGAGAGATTCTGGGTTTTATTTGATAGTTTTACATGGTTTTGGCCTCCCATGATGAAAGTAGTCACGTTTTTCTGAGTCAGTTATTTTGAACTATACAATATAAAGTGCTAAAACAGAAGAAAAGAAGTGTCAGTATAACATTCACCTCAGATACTGGAGAACAGTCACAACATGTGAGCAGCGTGATCTTATTTTCTCCCTGTTGTACTCCTTGCTTCTGCTCCGCTGCACGCTGCAGCAGACATGAGCAGCGAATCATGTGACATCACTCAGTACTTTCTGAGAAGCGCCTGTAAATTCCAGTAAGGATATATGAGGGGTGTGGGCCATGCATGTCACACTACTCCCATCAGCCCGCGAGATCTGGCCGCAAAAAACACTGAGACGTCAGGCATGTGGGCGTCACTCTTACGCCATGGTGTTGTCTAGTGGGGCTGAAGCATGCTGAAGCAGGGCCTCCCCCTCTGGGAGTATTCAAGTTAACTACCTCTGGCATGAAATGGGGCAAAAAGTTCAGACAGGGTTTAACCTAGTCTGCGACAGCTGTCAAAGTCAAGGGCAAAAAGAACACAAAGATTTTTCCTAATTTAGTTTTACGTGTTGCACTTTTATGGGAAGCAGCTAGCAAAACAAGAAGCAGCCATCTTCCTCCTGGATTTACTTTCTCAAATACATACTGATAGAAATAGATGTGTACAGATACTTTATTCTATACAGTAAACTGTTAGCTTACTTCTTGTAGCTATGGGTAATTGCATTATTAATTGAGAGTAAAAGCAGATACATATATGGAAACAGACAGAGCTTTCTATCCCTGCTCAATGTTAATTTCTTGCGTATTTGTGCTAACGGATAGGCACGAAACGGAGCAGTACCACCACAAATCGCGAGGGGGCAGTGTAGCCAGAAGTGTAAGCGAGACATCTACAGGACTTTTCGAGGAGAGACTTTGTGAGTTGACAAGAAACTACAGGCCTCTATATGATGTTGTTAGTACAAACAGCAACCTTTGTCCACTGCCACCATGTTTGTTGTTGTCAGAAACTGGTGACTCTGCGCTGCCCTCTAGCGGATGTATTGTTCAACAACCACAACAGAACGCACGGCAGTATGTGCGCTGTGACGCGTTACATCGTTTAAAATGGATGCATCTCTTTTTATACGTAAAGGGAGCATAAATGAGACTTAACATGACCCAAAACAATCCAACAAGAGAATGTCATCCGATTAATTTATTTGTCATTATCGCGTTACAATAGATTATAATTTCAGTTACGTACTAATAATCAAGAGTAGCATTTGTAGTTGTTACAGTAAGGATTGTACATTAAAACTAATTTATTTACTTGAAAAGAGACACAACTGCCACATCTTCATTTTCCTAATACATTTGTTGTTACACATGCTGTTATATCCACTGAAAACACTGCCTGTTGTTTACATTAACAGGGTTTTCTGTGACCTTCTCACCACCCTAACAACGTCACCTCCATCTGTTGTCTTGACCGTCCTTGAAATGGATCTTAGAAATGTAATGGTGCTCATTACCTTGAATTAAAACTGACATTGCTCATTCCGTGTGCGTGTGTGTGGTGCCTCAAAGTCAGGGGTAGACATTTTCTTTCTTTCACCTCTCCTGTGTTTTTTTCCCTCAGCTGAGTGGAAAACTAGGGATTTCATTATCACAGGCTGCTGGCAAAATGTGCGTAGCAAAAAGTGCAATGGCTTTCACAACAGCCGATTAGTCGACCCTGAGTAGAACTGAGGCAGACAGTGCAGAGTTAGTACTGGTTGTTTACAACATCAGCATGAAAAACCAGATATGAAATGTATAATGAGTGTTGATTATAGCAAAGAAGCAACTATGCTTGTGTCTGTGGCTTAAGGCCAAAACAGCCCCTCTGTAGTGAAGTTACGTAAGTGATCAGGGAACAGTTCCCCTTTACTGGCATTGTTACTCATCCTCCTGAAAACAAATCCGCTTCCTTCAACTAGTTTCTGTTTTACAGGGGAGATAGAACTGAGGCAGACAGTGCAGAGTTAGTACTGGTTCTTTACAAGATCAGCATGAAAAACCAGATACGAAATGTATAATGAGTGTTGATTATAGCAAAGAAGCAACTATGCCTTGACTTGTTTGTCCTTCTTTAATGGGTGAAGTTGAGGGGGTTGTTATTTTTAAGCAAAAGGGCCCGATGGTTCACCTTGAAATAAAACTACGTCATATGTCCGACATTACCCTGAACATTTTGAAAATATCGCCATTGCAATGGTTGTGCCCTTCAAAAAAACGTCATTATATCAAAGACACGTAGAATACCTACAATTTGTACTTAATGCGACTAAGCTCAGAATACTCAACATTTCTTGATTACCCCTGTAAAGGAGGTTATGTTACCATTGGCGTTTGTTTGTGAGCAGGCTTACTCAAAACAACTTAACCAATCTCCATTAAATTTGATGAAGGGGTGGAGCATGACCCAATAAAGAATCCATTACATTTTATAGCAGATCTGGAGAAACAAACAAATGCAGCATTTTTTTTTTTACTTTTTTCTACATAGCCCTCTCCAATAGTCCTTGTAGTTGAATCCATGATAACTTGTCTGCTGTTAAGATGGACTGAATCAGATAGTAGGCAAATCGAGGCACAAGAAACCGAACTATTTCGTCCAACTCAAGACTTGTGAGCTAGTATTTGTACTTAATGTGAAGTTGTGTTTGCTGCACATTTGGTTGTTCAGACATCTTCGGAGACAACGCCACCAGTGTAACAGTGATTAAACACTGGCACACACCAAAACACATTTATATAAACTCCTTTTATATGCAGAATTATGGGGCTCCACTCAGCTGTCGGAAGGTGCAGAGCGAGCCAACGTGATAATGAAAGGGTGTATACAGCAGGTGCTAATGAATGGGGACAGCCAACCACAATGCTGTGAGATCTCTTTAATAATCCGCGACTTGTCTTTAAGTCATTTTCTCTTTTCAGTAATGAGAGGTTGTTGAAGGGGCTTGTGTGTGTGTGGGGGGGGGGGACTTCTAATCTACAAAACAATCAGAAAAGAATCTAAGGGAGAGGAGCACGGTTAATGATGGGCTTCTGTCAGGGTCTGTTAAAGTCAACGAGTCACTGCTGGTGTTAGAGAACCATGTTTACAACAGGCCTGACCAGTGCTCCTGTTCTGGGAATGATAGTTTTTTGTTGTTGTTTCTTTTTGTGTAACTCTACACTTCCTACCTCCTGATCCTGTTCCAGTCCGGCTCAGAGCTCCAGCCTCCAGTACTACAGTCTCATTACAGCCAATTGGAGTAGTGTAGAGGAGGGACTGAGCTCTTGTGTGTCTGTGTGCGTCTGTGTCTGTGGCTTAAGGCCAAAACAGCCCCTCTGTAGTGAAGTTACGTAAGTGATCGGGGAACGGTTCCCCTTTACTGGCATTGTTACTCATCCTCCTGAAAACAAATCCGCCTTCCTTCACTTTTTTAAGTTTCTGTTTTACAGGGGAGGTATTTCCAGAAAATTGTGCACATCTCTTTTTTTTTTTTTGGTGTAAATTGTAGTTTCTCTTCAGCTCTCGTGAGAATAGTTATTTTTGAAATAGTTTTGGAGAATGAAGCCGAACATGTGGAAGTAGTATCACTTCAAAAATAAAATACAGTGAACTTTTGTGAACTTATCACTGCAGTTCTGCAATACCCTTATGATCTTCCCTTTCCTTGACCAAAGCCTGTTTGAAAAATTTATTAAAAATGACCTGGGTTAATAATGCAAAGGGAGCATTACGTAACGGTTTTAAAACTTGCTGCCCCAGCAGTCTTGACACACAAAGGCTCCTGACGTGTGCGTGGTCGTTTTCTTTGACCTTGCCCTGAACTCCAACCCCTCGACTCGGTCCTCACCGACCCTTCCCCAGGGCCTGCTTCACATTTCACTTTTTATAAATCTACCCATCATCATGTGCCCAACCCCCCCTTCCCAAGTCAACTTGGCAGTAACCTGAACAGAGGGTGCAAATGCTTTACTCAAGAGCAGGAGCTCCAGAGCTGGTGTTCCTCTTAATCTGGCTGCTTGACCATGTGCAGTGACACAAGGGCAGCTCTAGCACAGGCAGCAGTGGCCCCTGCATGTGACTGCAGCTGAGAGGGAGAAAGACCGAAAAACAGAGAGGCAGAAAAATGTTGCAGAGGCGTCAAACAAACACAGTGTTGTATTCTTCCATCAGAACAAGGGCCTCATTTGCTGCGGACACTGTGGCTCAATGAGGAGAAACAGTGGGTTGTAAGGGCGAGCTCGCAGCTCAAACATTGTGGCAGCTACATTGTCAGGGGTTCGTACTCAGCCAGTCAGATGCAGTGAAGTGAAATTAACAGCGTTACCCAGGGCATAATAGCTGCGCCGTGTTTTTGTGTCAAGGCCCTGCTTGCTCCTCTGGCGAGCACAGAAACCAACAACAGAGAGGGTTGAGTTCTGCAGCCGGGGCGAAGCACAGAACACAAACAGACTTTTATATAGAATGCATAAATATTTCATTAAACCCATGTACACTTGAGCTCACAAAGGTGATTCTTGTCATTTTATAATTGTGATATTTGTCCTATTCCATTTACATTACAGGTTTAATGTTCTGCACGTATTTTATTGTTTTGGGAATTAGCTATGAAACTGCTTGGTGATCACATCCACATGTCATTTTTTGTCTGAACACAATACAGAAGTAAAAGTTATCTAGCGCAAATTATTGTTTTATTGTCGGTAGTGTAAAATCAATATGGTTTCAAATGAGTATTACCGATAACACTGATATTCACCATTAACTAACTTTTTTCTTCCCAACCCTCTGCCTACAGTCGACCTGTTGAGTGCTTGACCTGTGTCAGAGCCCAGCGATGTGGATCTGCATTGTTTACAATGAGACGGACACCAGCGTGGACTTCCGCCCCTGCCAGGACTTTGGCCTCATCCTGTCAGTCTTCTCCCTCATCTACCTCCTGGTGTGCTTTCCACTGGGGCTGTGCTACAATGTACTGCTCGTCGTGGTCAACCTCTCCAACAAGGTGTCTATGACCATGCCAGATGTGTATTTCGTCAACATGGCCATCGCGGGCCTCGTGCTTAACCTGGTGGCGCCCGTGGAGCTGCTGAGCTCCACCTTCACCCGCTGGCACATATGGGAGTACAACAAAGAGGTGTACATCACCCTGCTCATCCTCTTCAACATCTCGTCACTGGTGATCATGTATTCCACCACGCTGCTCAGTCTGGACTACTATATAGAGCGAGCTCTGCCTCGCACGTACATGTCCAGTGTGTATAACACTAAACATGTGTGTGGGTTCATCTGGGGCGGTGCAGTGCTCACCAGCTTCTCTTCGCTGCTCTTTTACGTGTGCAACCACATCTCCACTAAGATGGTTGAGTGCTCGAAAATGCAGAACAAGGAGGCGGCAGACGCCATCATGATGTTCATCGGCTACGTGGTTCCAGCTGTGGCCGTCCTTTATGCCTTTGTGCTCATTTTGCGCATTAGAAAAGAGTCAACGCCTCTGGATCAGGACTCCGCTCGCTTGGACCCTTCTATCCACAGGCTGCTGCTAGCCTCAGTCTGTGTGCAGTTTGTACTGTGGACCCCATACTACATGACCCTGTTGGTGCACACTGTAGCTGGTGCACCCGGGTATGTTAGCAATGCTCAGTACTTGCCTACCTATTTCTTCTTGAGATGTGTGTCTAAACTGCTGGCATTCTCAAGCAGTTTTGCGATGCCTCTCATGTACAGGCAGATGAACAAAAACTTTTCCAACAAGCTTCAGCGGCTGCTCAGGAGGCTGCACTGTGGAGACCGCTCCTGCCCTCACGAACGCTCAAACGTGCAGCAAGTGGTGACGTGAGGTCACCCCCGGGAGATCAGCGACACACCCTCCCATTTCCCCATTTCCACCTCATGGCCTAGCCGGCACTTAACCCCCACCTCCCCCTACAGAGCCAGTATGTGACTGCGCTCCCTCGCTGCTCTGGACTGTGTTAAGAGCGATGTAGCTGACTGTGGAATTTCCTGTCACCTTCCAAAACTTGATCTGATCTATCCTGTGAGAGGACAAACCAAGCAAAAAACCACTAAGTGCTGTTATTTCTTGTCACAGAGTGAAGCTCTCCACTAAAATATTCTAGTTTCTAGTTTCAGGGCAGTAAATTTGGCAGAATCAGCCAATAACGCTGGCAAAATATCCAGTTAGCAAGGGAGTCCCTATCAATATCCCTTTGCACTGGATGTTTTTTTTGTGTAAAGTTGTTTTCCTGCTAACAGAGTGCAAGTGTGGCTAATGCATGACAGACTGAATTTCACTGTTAAGTGTCAATATGCTAGCAAATACGATTTATTTTTTTAAAGGTCTTTAGTGTTTCCCTCCAGTATAAAGCTACCCCCCCCCCCCCCCACACACACACACACACACACACAAGCAGAGGCAGTAAAGCTATTAACTTAAATTATGAAGTGACGCCAAGTTATTTTGTTTCTGAAGAGAAAACTGTGCAAACCTGCCTTGACGGATGGTGGCTGGTATATCAGCAACCCACCACAGCTAATGAACTTGTGTTGTGTCAGCATTGCAAAGCTACGCTCGGCGCCGCTGAAGAGCTCTGTTTACTGCCCTGAAGCTACAGGCCTTGATCACTTGAATGAAAAGACGGTTCTACCTTTGTAGAGCCGAATTTTCCTTTTTACTTAAATGCTTGGAGAGTGATTCCTCGTTATCAGTGCAAATGTTCTTTACATTTCAAAGGTGAAGAACAATTATTCAATTACTCTTCCAGATATTGTAGCTTAATTTCAAAAGCTATCTTCTTTATTGATACCAGCACTACCCTGTAGCTATAAGTAGACGCTGGTATGATGTTCTCATTTCTTTCTTTTTTTTATAGATTGGAGTTCTGAGAATTTGATCCACTCACAGGCATAGAGAGATTATTCTTGCATATGTGAAACTCCACGTTAGGAAACAAATAGTGTACACACACACATTACTTTGAAGCAACACATGAAATGCTCATATAAAGCTTGTAATCAGGTTTCAGACATAACCGGTATACCTCTCTGCTGAAATCACATCACCTGTTAACCACACGCAGTTCAAATCAACTCACTAAAAAAAATACACTCATTAATCTGAGTGGAGAGCCTCAGCTCAGTGTGTGCTTCGTTGAGATGTGTTTCGCATCTGCTGGAGTTATGCATGCGGTGTCACATTGGGTCAGTCAAGTCCACATGGGTTCACAGAGAAGACCCTGAGGAGGAGGTGGAATGTACATTCCCTAAATTGCATGCCCACTTATGAGTGGTAGGGAGGTTTGGTCCAGGTGGAAATATGTAGCCTGACTGGGTCACTCGAGAGGCACCATCAACAAAAAAAAACCTTCACTTATGTATGAACGACTCACCTGCCAAGCACCTGCAAACAGTGTGTTTGACACAGAAGTAGAGTTTGATCTGTAAATGCTGCTCAGATGCATCAAGGTTATCTGCACGTTTTTTGGCAAAAGCTACTTCGCTTTCTGGCCGGCCAGACAATTCTAATAGAGATGAATCCCAGTTATAACATGAACAATAAAATATTGTTCTTGCATTATGAGGTCTGCGCATTAAGTTTAGTTTTTATTTGATTTCAGAATGAAAGGGCCAGTTTATGAATCATCCTGTGAACAAATACACGGCGAGGTGGGGGCAGGAAGTGAACACTGGTAAATCCCTCTCAGACAACAGTCAATGATAATCACTTATATTTGTAAAAGGTTGAATTTTACAAACAACTGGCTTTGACTGTGAAATTCAATGGATTGGACAGCGATTAAAAGCTTTTCATAGAAATATGCAGTTATTATTAAGATTATAATATAATTTTACATTTGCACGTACTCACAAACCAGGAATATTTTTTCTAGGTCTGTGGTGTGTAACAGTGTCCAACTATCGACTTTCCACTGCACAGCCCCATCATCATTTGTGTATCTGCAATCAGTGAGTAGGAAGTAAGTGTTTGTTTTCAACTGGAACTGTGTGTTTACTTTATGCGCTACAGTATCTGCTGCCCCTATTTCTACAAAATCATATAGTTAATCATTATTTAACCTTAGTTCAAAGTCCTGATGCTCACTAGTCATTTAGGCCTGGGAGTCAAACAGAAGAACATCAAATGATGAGTGGTGTGAAATGTGGAAAAGGTGGTGTCCATTTTAAGACAGCACTTTGTACTGAACTGTCAGAGATTACAGTTGTGTCCACATAGTTTTTACCAAAAATTCAACTATTACTTAATCAGTAGATCCAATAATGACACTTGAATTACAGCGAACAGAATCAAATTGTTACTATTTTAATCAATATTTGACACGTGTTCATGTTTCCTTTGGTATTTTTATGCAGATTAAATGGACAAGCTTGATGTCAAATTTACTGTAGTTTAATGAAAATACATCCAAGTAGAAACATTAGAGTTGTAGTTGTTTTGATTAAAAAATATTTTTAGGTTTCAGTGATTTTTAATCTGGGTCAGAATCTGCATTAATGACAATCATGGTGCTTTTTAGCAAAGTAAAAAGTTTGAGGCAAATTACACGAAGCCTTCGTGGATTATCAAACGATCGTGGTTGTGGTAATAATTAGCAGCCACGACAAACTGGCCACACCATCTTCACAACTGGAAAATAAAGTTTGATCAAAGTGGGTTTCAAATCACGCCCAGTTCTGATGAGTGCGCTGTCTGTCTGGGTTTGGTCTCTTATTTCAGAGGGGCCGTACACTCTCACATCATTGCAAAGAAATGTGAGTGATTACCACTGAGTTCAGTTAAATAGCCGAAACAGGCCGAACAGTTTGAGTTTCGAATGTATGCAGATGTATTTTAGCTGGCAAAACCTCAGAAGTCGAGATGAATCCACTTTTCAGATGTGATGCTTTACGACTGTGTATGCAAGTGTAAATGTCATGTGTATATATTGTATGTGAGAGATTTACAGGAAGACAACACGCTCTTTCAAGTGATGTTTTCAAAAAAACATACAGTATTATTTTTTTTGAGAGATATATTTAGATTCTGTAAGTAATCTACCCAGCTGAGTCAAAGACTGATTAAACAATAAACTAACATGGATGTTACCTCTCATTTTTATGCTGATGATAATATGTTTAACTAGAAGAGCACAGCATCTGTTCAGTTGTTTTTCTGTTATCTTGCTCACAAACATGAAAACACATCATCCTTGGTGGAGTTAAATATTAATTATGCAGTCTGTGTCTGACAATTTCACCAAACACGATAGGTTTCAGGAGGACAGTGTCTGGATTTGCTGCTTGGCCCTCAAAAATGTCCCCTGCTGCTCGGCTACATTGTTCGACTTTGCTTTTGTCTACAACTCAAGTTCATCAAAACAAAATACTGTTGGATTCTTGTCTTCAAGCCTCTAATCTAGTGGTCGGGCGAGGGTGAAGTTGCATAGCTTCCTGTCTCACTCTGAGCTGCAGCGACAGTGGATGTGAGGGATTTCTTTTTTGGGGGGGCACGACCCTTTAACCGTGACACACAGACTGCGGAAAATAGCAGCATTTCAGGCATTCTGGGAGTTGTTATGTCTTCTGCGGGTCTGGCGGTCCATTACTGCTGCCATTCATAGTGGAAACAATGTTGTGTATAGGCTACATCTGATAACAATGCTGCTTACAGAGCTGCCTGCAAAAAAAAAGAACCTGGAAAAAATTTGCTGCAACAAAGCTGATGTAAGGTGCCAAATTGCAGGGAGGAGTAATCCTAATGCACCGGCTGTTTTTACTACTGCCCTGTTAATTTCTTACACACAGATGCTACAACAATACATTGCCGAATAGTGTATATAGAAAATGTGAGAGCCAGAACACAGAGCCAAACATGAGAGGTCCAGCAGGAGGAAGGGGAGGTCCTGAATTAAACGTACTACATCTGGAAATGATATGATAATGGAGTGAATTGAACATGGTTGTCATGGTTGCCGTTTCCCCCTCTGAGGACTAGAGTTTCAGTGGGGCTGTGACTGGAGTCCGTTAGCTCAGGCAAACAACACAAAGAGCACAAATTATCGATGAGATCACTCGCTGATAAGTTTGTCTGTATTGATGTGTTATTTATTTTGAAACAACAGGAAGTTAATGCAACAAAAGGAAAAGTATGACATCGTCAGTCTAGTTTTCATAGACAGAAACAGACCATATAAGGAACCAGGAATTTTATTTTATTTTTCACGTGTATTAATTTGCAGTAGCTTCTTGTCCAATGTGACGCACGATGAGGCACAACCCAAGTCACTGGATCATGGAGAGGCCCTAAAGAATGCATGACTCCATGTTCCACTTGACCCAAGTGCGACATGCAGGTGCATAAAATAAAGCATAAGTGCCTGGCATTTTTTATTTTAGAGAGGGAGAGAAGTACAAGATGAGATGCTCTCGAAAGAGTCTTCAAGCTAGCAAATGGGTGATCAACCACATATGTTTTTTACTCAAAATATGGTAAACTAGAGTGGCACTTAGCGGAGCGCGTACCTCCACAAAGATCGAACAGTTCTCTTGTGTAACATCAGTTTTCTTCAGCTTGATTCCTTCACTATCCCTGTGAGAAACCAAATCTTAAAATATAACCAACTAGCATGTTAAATCTATTCTAGTTTGCCATTTTGTGGAGGTTTATATTCCTGTCATCATCCCTAATATGACCATATTGTATGTAAAGATGGATGACGCATCTTCAAACTATCTTGTATTCGGGTGCCGCCATCTTGCACTTTTGGCGTCATTTGGTGCCAGAGTCTGCACACTGGGTGCGGAACCAGGTTTGGTCTATGTTCCATCTTAAAATGAAGGAGGCTGTATGTATGACCCATACAGCAGCCAGCCACCAGGGGCCAATCAAGAAGATGTGGCTTCACGTTTGAGGAGCTGTCATGTCGTCCACACAGTCTATGATTTGACTAATTCTTGGCCAGGAGCAGTTGCCAAGCAACCACCATAGAATGGATGGTCAGACTAGCTGTTTCCCCCTCTTTCCAGTCTTTGGGCTAAGCTCACTGTAGCTTATGTAATGAATAGACATGAGGGGGGTGTAGCCTATGTCTTATCTAAATGTCCACCAGAAAAGAAATTGGCATTTTTCCATTTCTCTTCCTATTCCTTAAATGCGTAACAGTATATTAAGTATCATAAATTTAATTTTTGGAACTGTATGCAGTAAGTCCAAAGTCTAAAAATGAACTGTGTCAATTCAGAAGTTTCACATTGTTTTCCACAGGTTGCTTTAAAGGAATAGATGACTGACAAATGATGAAGGGGTGGGTGCAGTGTTTGAGTCCACAGAACACTTTTGGAGTTTCAGAGGTAAACAGCGTTGCAGCCAAATCCAATACAATTGAAGTAAACGGTCACCACGTCTTCAGACGTAAAAAAAAATACAACAGAAAAAAACCTACATGCTGCTCCTGTGGTGTCATCCAAGTGTCTGTAAGCCTGGATGTTCAAATCCGACTCGTAACTGCATCATTTACACCATGTTTTTAGCCTAAATATCCGTTGATATCCTCCTCTTTGTTACTGCTGCAGTTTGAGACCACATCAGTATTGTGGACTCAAACACTTCACCCACCCCTACAAGTGGAAAAGCTTTTAACTGTACAAGCGTCTGTCGAGGAAACAGGATAACGCTGACAAAGCACAGTTTTTAATGTGCTACATTAGTCTTAATGTTGTTTTTCTCCTTTAGGGGTTCAGCCAGACCAAAAGTATGAGGGTCAATACCACTCGCACATAGAACATCGAACACCAGACCACCTATGTAGTCAGAACAGTTGGCTTGTGGTTTTAAAATGTTTTATCTGGCTGACAACCAGCTTTCACACACACAGCCTGAGACCACCGTAGTGTTTCTCAATGTGGGCTGCAGGATAATGAGGAGAGCAAGATTAGACGGGTTACCGTTAGTGTTCTAGAAATCTATATGCAAGCAAGTGTGTCAGAAGGAGGGCAGCATGTGGAGTAAAATCATAAATCCCTAAATCAACCATGAAAGTGTAGAAAGTCAGAGAGATTGAGAAAATATTCATAAAACAAAACCAATCCTGTAAAAGACCTCGAATATCATTGGTTGGGGACTGTTTTTTTCTCAGTAGACATGGGGAAAAGAACGTGGAGAAGAAGAAGAATCATGTAAGTAAGATAGAAAAGACCAGGAGCAGCATCAACTGATTGTTGTTGAGTGTAAGTTATCCTCTATCTTTGAGCCTCAATTTAGCTCTGGGGATACAAGTGGAACATGCAGGGCAGATGCTTGGAAAACAATCCCACTTTCCCTCCTCTTGGCTTTTTCACTCTTCAGAAACGAGAGCAGAGAAATACAATTCAAAAAAACACACACACAATGAAATCCCAGCATCAGCTAAATATCAAACATGGCCCTGGAAGCAGTGCAGAGGAGCTGCATGGTGCAGGATGTTCCATCCAGAGGTTGTGGTTGTGGCTGCGGAAGAAGTTGGATGGAGCCAGAAGTGCATGAGACTGGTAAGTGGAGGCAGATGAGAGTGTCGTACCCTCCCTCCCATTAGACCTCCCACTTTCACTCCCCCAACCACAAGCAGTTAAACCCCAAAACTTCCCATTAATAACACTAGTGATGTTGTCTCGCTCATTAGATGTGACTGGATGGGAAGTGCAGTTGTTTCGTGGAGGAACCTCTTTTTCTTATAGGAAAACAGCAAAGTTATTATAATGATATGTTTTTACAGTTATGGTAGGATTTTCATGGTGATCATAATAACAAACCGAGACCGATGCAACGCTTGGATTCTCCCTGTCATTTAGCGTATAATCCAATTATTTACCCTTCAGCCTCTTTGAAAGTCTACATTCAAATTGATGTTTGCACCTCTCACCTGTTGATGCCTACTGCTGCAGAAAAACCATCCTAGAAACCACATCACTTTTTCAGCCAGAGCCTGTGCAGTGATTGGAATTTGTCCCCATCTTGCCAAACATTATTCACTGTTTGTGCCAGTGGGCCACCCAGTGGACACGAGCAGGGAGTGCAGCCTCTCTCACAAACCTGACTAAAGTGAATGTGGAAGCAGTTAAAGCAGAGTATGACGTGTAAGAGAGATCAGGAGAAAGGCAAAAAGTGAGGCCAGCTTAAAAGGTAAGAGATGATATGCTTACAATTTCATCCATAATACTGTCAGACAGACAGACAGACAGAAAGCAGAACAAACAGTCACTATGAATAATTTTCAGGCAACTTTCAAACTATATCCTCCAGTGCTTTCTATCAGCTTTCACCATCATGCATAATTTCAGCCAAGATTAGAACCTGCAAAGCCTTTTCTGTGTCATTCGTAGGAAGAACATTTTCCAGATGAGGCTCACTGTTTACTTAACCTTGCGTTACCGCACTTAATCGGTTCCCTGAATTTATTTTCTAATCTGAAGAAATCCTGGAGTCAGGAAAATGTCTCTTTGTGTCTGTGATCTAGTGGGTTAAAAACAGTAATATCACATGTTTATTTGACTGCAACATGTTAGTGAAGCTCTATTTCACCTATATTAAACAAATATGCTTGTGCGTCATCACTATTCAGGTAAAATGGCCTGTTCTCCTTCTCTTACTCTCCTCCTCCCCCTCTCTGTTTCTCATAACCAATTCCTCTGGACTGATCCCCACTTTCCCCTTACATGTGTGAAGTGATGCGGACAGAATACCTGAGATTTCAGCTATATAGCTGAGAGAAAATGGCAGAAATTGTTCTTTCTATTTGACCGCTCAAACTTTTCTGCTCTTCCCTTTCTTCCTCTCAGCTGCTGAGCTGACTTTCTAAATGTGACTAAACTCTCTTGCTTCCAACCCTCAGACATTGTTCTCATCTGTCCCCTCTCCTGGAAAAAAAACAACTCCAACTTAATTGTGCCAGCTTGGCGACCAGCTGCCTTTCTGACCCTATCTGCCCCTTCAGACCATTGCTGATGATCCGCTGCTCCATTTACCGACTCTCCAAAATCAACTTCTGTGAGACATGAGGCCTGGTTGCCATCTGCACTCAGCAAAATCAACAAAAGGTGGTCCGCTTCCGAAAATGAAACCA